TGAATAAACTTTAGTGTCATAAGAATCTATGTTTTGTTAAGTTCATTTTGATATATAAATGGTTACATAATGAATAAACTTGTTTCAATTATTTTATATTAAACATGTGACAGAATTTATGACCTGATTAGGTATATATCTATGTATGTATATATGTATATGTGTGTGTATGTGTGTATGTATGTATATGTGTATGAGTTTTCTTTTTTGCCTTTTTTGTTCCTTCTCAATGCTTACATGTATTTTTGTTGGTAAATGTTATGTACACTTGTTATTGATATACATATCAGTGAGCGTGTTACTTGTTATATAATGTAGTGTTAATGTTTAATATGTATATTGTAAGTGTGCTTATGAAATAAAAAAAATAAACCTGCAGACAGTGATCAGATGATTTTGTGCTTTTTATTTGCACAACACTTAACTTACTTTCGATGATGATCACAAATCGTGCATAAAACTTTGAAATAATGAATTCATTTATATTAAATATCTTAAACAGAGTTAACATCTCACAAAAAAACTTCGGTATTCGATTTTCGATTCACGACGATATTATGACTGTGTATTCACCTACGTACGAAAATGAAGTCCATAATGACTGAATTTAAGCAAAAATCAATAATAAATATTAAGAACTAAACCTATGAACTAAATTTTAATAAATTTCAGAAAATATCTTCAATATGAAAGACGTTGACAAATATATGTCACTTTTTTCTTTTAGTATTAACTCATGGCTTCTTTTGATAGAATACTACTAATATTAAATAATTTAATTTAAATGAATTAATACGTAAATTAACTGTGCAAATCTCAGAGTAATATGTATGTAATTATATTTTAAAGAGCAAACCAAAAAAAGCTTAACACAGAATTAACATTTTTAGTTTCTTCCGATATAATATGAATTTGTATATCTAATTTTTAAAACGGCAATCTAAAACAACATGAAAGAAAGAAACAGCGATATTTTTTCTCGCTTTATTTTTACAAGCCCAATACGAACATTGACAATATCATGATTGTGTGCAGATTTTTCAGCTTTCATCCAAAGTTGGATCATTCTGTATCGAACATTTCATATTTATGTGTGACTGTAAGTGCTTTTCATTTGACAGATTGATTCTTGTCAGTGAAATTAGTGACCTAGTGCAAAATCAAGTGACAGTGCAAGATCCCTCCCGGCGCCTGAGTGATATGTTAAAAATAGATTCTATTACGTGCCTCTATATAAATTTATCAAAAATACAGTGAGGAAATTATAATAAACCGAATAAAAATACCCAAGACTTGGCCTAAAGGTCTAGATACCAGGCCATAAACTCCAAAAAAAGTGGTGATTATATATATTCTCTTTGAAGTGACAGTTGACATTTGACAGAGCGCGCTCATTAAATTTCGAGGTCATTGACATTGACATTCCTAATCTTCATAGTTCATACTTCATAACTGTTTTGAATATATATAATAATCTAGGGCTTAGATATTCCTAATTTATATGTATTTATTTGGAATTGGTTTAATATAAGACAGAATTTCCTATTAGTTTGTGGTTTATTATTCGTATTCTAATTTATACTTGTTATGCAGTGACTACTTGACGATATAAATTTTGGAAAGATTGTTAAACAGTAAAAAGGTTTTTAGAATGAGTTTTATGGGGATAAAATTGATCACCCGATTCTATTGTTCGTTTGAAAATGTTGTGCCTCGTGTGTGTATTGTTGGTTCTGGTCCAGCCGGATTTTACGCTGCAATGCATTTATGCAAAAAACTAAACAATGTACATATTGATATACTTGAAAAGTTACCAGTGCCTTTTGGATTAGTGCGGTTTGTATATTTATGGTTTCATGAACACAGAATAGACTACTACTTTAGGGTTTATTATAGGATATAGATACAATACATTCTTGCATAATGTATTAATGAATGTACAGTGGATTTTATTTATTACGACCTTGGTTGTAGCTACCATTTACCTATAGCGACGTTAAATCTAAGTCCCTTAAATAACGACTTTCGGATATAACGACGAAAATAGAGTGGTCCCTTTATCGTCGTTATACCCGAAATCTACTGTATTATATTACTATTATTATTTTTACTAGCCTAAAAGGCCTCCCTACTCTCTTTCCACTTCTCTCTCTCTCTAGAGCCACCATAGACCAGTCCTTCATTAAGAAGACTAGTTCATCCCGCCATCTCTGCCCGGGTCTGCCACACTGACGTTTGCCTTTATAATATATTACTACTAGACATGTACAAATCATTGAAATCATATCTTGGAATGGATTAAACCTAGAATGTTCATTTCTCTATCAGAACTAGTTCCCATTCATATTAACATGTTTGGTTTTGCTGGTAGGCATGCACTTTTCACAGATCAGAGGTGTAGTCAGTTTTAAAAATTCATAGAAGGTTTTTTACACTTTACTACTATTAGCGCAAAAGGGCCATAAGCCATGTCTGAAAACACTTTTAAGATCAAATAAAACAAAATAAAAACTTGCCAAGATCAAAGTATGTCACACATACACACCTATGACATGAAACAAAAGATTATTTTTTTAAATTCAAATATTGTTGAAAGAGAAATGAACTTGCAGGTGTCAAGGTCACGAGTTCAAAACAGAAATCAGAGTAACTCATATTTTTTATTAATTATAATTAATTTATATACTTATATTTTTTTACAAAATTGAAGTGACAAGTGAACTTACAATCCATTGGTAAGTGGCTACTGCAGACCATGAACATTTTCAGCCAACCTCAAATAAAGAAGGCCCCAGAGTCAATGTTACCCCTGAGGACCAAGATATTCACAGACAGTAATCATATAATTATAGTAGTACTTTATAACCTTCAAAAGGGTATACAGCAGTACACGTACGCCAGTTTGGCAACAGGAATCGGGTAATCGAACTACTACTGACACCCAGGCAGAAAAGAAGTCCTATAACCTAGAAAATAATATTGTGCATGGCCAGATCTAAGTATTTAATAAATAGATATATAATATACTGCCTTGTTGGTTCAGTGGTTGCAAACACGATTGCTGATTAAGAGGTCCTGGGTTGGACCAAAAATCAGTTATTAGGTTTATGGTATTACGAAATTCTCAGTAGGAGTCCGGAGACAGGGCGGTGTTTCACCTGTGTACCTCGGAAAGCATGTAAAGCCGTTGGCACCTCACTTGATATTTCTCTGGTTGTGCCGAATTACCGTCCTATTGGTCTATGAGGGTGAAGGAGAGAGAGTGCACTTATGCTGGCTCATACACTTGAGCACTATAATCCTGTCCTCCGCAGATGGCTAGTCTCCGTTGAAACTGGCTGCTGGCTTTGACCGAAATTCGGTCTGGAGGACATAATTATTATAGAATATAAAAATCCTAATATCACAATAATAAATTAATGTTTTCTTTCAATTTATATTTGACCTGACAATTGAACAAATGTTAAGTCAATACACCCAAGGAATATAGTATTTATATAATTTTGTAGAAATGCATTGTTAGCAGTCAACTTTGGGTGTAAATAATGTGTTATGAATAAATTTAAAAATGATGCTTGAGAAACTATTATGTATATTTGTTTTATGTATTTTGCTTAGGTATGGTGTTGCTCCTGACCACCCAGAAGTCAAAAATGTTATTAATCAGTTTACTAAAGTAGCTAATAAACCAAATGTTAATTTTTATGGAAACATAGCTCTAGGAAAAGATATTGATTTATTACAACTTCGACAACATTATGATGCTGTTCTTTTGGTAAATATTCTGTTAATATATTAAATCTCTTACATTTTCTGAATCTTTCTTCATTGTTGTGTTTTTTTATTTATTTAAGACATATGGAGCTGAAGAAGATAAAACACTGGGAATTGAAAATGAAGAAGCAAATAATATAGTAGCAGCAAGGAATTTTGTTGGCTGGTATAATGGACACCCCAGGGATAAAGATTTGAAGGTATAATCAATAAACTCTGAAAACAGATATTACATATTATGCTCATTTTAAGATTGGTGATGATTTGGTGTCTAACATGTTAGATATGATCCACCAAAAACATGAAAGGGGCCAAGTTCACTACAAAGATGTTCATGGTTGTTGCTAAGAGTTAGAATCTGAACAGGCGCACTATAACAGTTACTTAAATCATAGGATCTATAAGAATATACAACATTCTGAGAACATCCATAATAATCTCGCTTGCATTTTCGACTGGAATCGATCATTTGGTGATATCTGTGACCTCTTTAAAATCCCAAGTCAAAAGTCAAAATTATGTGACATTTAATAGTGTATATTATATCAAGTTCACTGTCACTAAATGAACATTTAAAATTTCTCAGTTGCTGTCATGATTGTTTCCTTATGATCTAAGGAAAACCTTTCCTTCAAATGTCCTGTGCACTCCTCAACATTTTATGATGAATCATTTTCTGGTCTTGGAATTAAAACTTTTCAATTTCTTACTTTTGTTGATTTAACATGCTCAATCCTTACATTTGTTCAAGAAACATGTTAAAGAACATGGTTTACAAATCTTATAGAAGTGTTCTCTGCTTATATAGGATGACTGGTAGAGAATGCCTTAAAGTGTTAAGTCTGCCTTTATACATTTTTGTGCAAATAAGATTTATAAATAAATTTGTCTCTTTCTCTCTTTGTCTCTCCTTTAGCTCTTCCTCTTTTCATTTATGGTCACTGATCTATCGTCTAAAGTCTGTTGTGTATTGAGCATTTATCTGAAAAAAATTGCTATATATGAATTAGACCGTCTTTTGTTTTCCCTCAATATTAGTATATTATTTTGCTATACATAATAAATTTTCCTTGGTGTTGGCATACAATAAAGAGTATTGTATTGAAGTCTAAATAAATACATGAACTTTAACCCTTTACGGCGCAAAAACGAGTTTTTGATTTTATTTATTGAAAACAGGTTAAGACAAGCTGTAGAATAATGGGAAAAATAATAAAAAAATAATCATATGTAAAACAAGTATTTATTTTTGGAAAAAATAACGTGATGCAGATGTGCATTATGGTGTGAAAACAGATGAAAACGTTAGTTGTGAACGGGTGTCGTCCTTTCACAACTTACAAATTGTGAAAGGAACGGAAACAGTTGTTATTTCTGTTGAAACATAAGGCTACGCCGCACTTTTCACATTCGGTTTGGGCTGTTCCAGTACAGCCTGGAAATTTGCACCGAAGCATTTTTTCCGTCCAAACTGGCCAATGCCCTGACTGGTCTAGCCGAACGTCTTTCGGTGGGATATGCTGACAAGGCCCTTTTTTCTTTTTGTCTTGGATGAGTGCTTCCACGTCACTGGTGCGCTTCAGGCGGTTTGTCTTTTTATATTTTCCTAATGTTCCAGCAATTTTAAGTCGAAAATCTGCAGAACTTAGCAGCTTCTCAGTATTTTCAGTGTCAGCATGAATCCTTCTATATAATAACCAAGAATTAGTCATAGTCATGTCCAGAAAATGGTAAAAGAGTCTTATAAACCAACGTTTGCTACGAAGTTTTATTTTATAGTGACCCATTACACAGTCCATAAGGTCTACACCTCCCATATGACGATTATACTCCGCCACAATAAAAGGCCGTTCCACATTGATGTGTATCTTTTGCGACTTGTCGAATCTACTTACGACAGATGTGGAATTTTTGCCAGCAAAGTTGGATGCTAGGTTCACAATTTTATTATCTCTCCAGGCCACCACTGATATGTCGATACCGTTATAGCTTGCAACCTGTTCGACTGACGTGCCTCTCGGTCTTTTTTCAGCTGTTTTTCATCTGGGAGTTTACAGTTAGGGATGCGGTTTCTCCTAACGGTGCCCAAAGCTAATATACCACGGTGTGATAAGAACTCTATCAAAGGTAGGGATGTATAGTAGTTGTCAAAAAACAGTCTATAGTTTTGGTTGACAGGAATCTCTCTGGCAAGCCGGACCACTACATTGGATGCGGCACCTAATTGAGGCTCACCATCTGCGCATATATTCTCCTGGCCGATGTAAACTTCAAACTTGTAGCCGTATCCACTTACACCACAAATAACGAACAGTTTGAAGCCCCATTTGTGGGGTTTGTCTGGCAAATATTGCTTTAGAGCACTCCGTGCTTTGGTTGAACACATTTGTTCATCAACAGACAAATGTTGTTCTAGTGGCACTTTTCCAAAGTTACGGTTCAGTTTTTCTATTATGGGTCTGATTTTATATAGTCTATCAGAGTTTGGCTGACCATATGGTAGCATTTTAGAATTATCATTGAAGTGCAGTACTTGCCTCATAAACTCGAACCGTTTAAGCGGCATCGTCTCACGTATGTGGGCATAGCCATATTTCTCTGACCAATACATTCGCACATTAGGTAGATGAACTATGGACATGAAGTATGTAATTCCAACAAACTGCCTTATTTCCTGGCTTGTGACGTTTATAGGTTTACTGGCATCTTTTTGCACGCTGTACAGGTTAGTTTCGTCTCTAATCAGATTCACAATGTCGTCAGTAAATAAATAAGAAAATACCCGATAAGGCGTCTTCAATTCTAGGGTTTCATTTGGTAACTTGGAAGATCCCCGAAACCTCATCTGGTCTTCATTCAGCTCTAAGTTTTTAATTTTCCATATGATACTTGTTTTAGGAAACACGTGTGCTTCTTGGCGTGGTTCCTATTTCGGAGCTGGTACTGGGTAGTAGAACGGCAGCCGGTGTCTCACATGGTTGAGCTGAAGCGCTGGTATTAGTCTCAGAGTTCATTATTAAGATGTTGTCGTCCTGATCTTTTGGGTAGGGAACATCGGGCTCCTCATCTGAGGCTTGACGTAAATTATGTTCATTCGCCTCCAATACGTACGATGGATCTGCTACATCATCGTCGTTTGAGAAATCTAAGCCATCCTCACTGTCTTGCCATTGTTCTAAAATGCTTTCCAAGTCGTTGGATGATAAAATCGGAAGCCTATGACCTGAACGTGGAATCATCGAACTCATATTCGGCCTGAAATAAGAAAATATTCATATGAGCAAAAAAGAAATAAATTATAACCGTTTAGCGCAATGATTCTCACGGGTGACAACGCATCTGCATTTTGATTCTTTATTGAGGATAGATGTAGATCTCTATGGATCACAGCAACCACTTACCATCAGGTGAACTGTGTGCTCGTTTGTCAGCCTATCCTATAAAAAAAAAAACGAGACTATTTATTATGATGAAATTTCAAATAAAATACTTTATAGACCAATTAAACTTCTCAAACAAAGCTGTATAGCATTATTTATAGTTTCTTAATTACTAATTATTCAAATAATGAGGTCAAAATTTGTACTTGAAAATGTTTAAAAAAATAATAATACAATCAAACAAAATATAATTTTCGAACACATTATATCAGCTAAAAAGTATTCCTTTGACCGTCCAATGGTTTGTGTAATCTTAATCTGTTTTACAATGAAATCCTCAGTGATTGTGTCTTGATCTTTTATTTTTTGAACAACGAACTAGTACTGGTTTTTTACGGTTTTCAAAAACCGTACAGCGAATATCTTCTATAAAACCGATATAGTATTTCCATGAGCCTCTTTGGTAGTATCTTACTAGTACTGTGTCATTGAAACATGCCTCCATATATCTGATTGAGTTTCCGATGTCACTTCCAAATCGTTTATTAAACTGTCAAAGTCTTTAAAATCATTCTGCTGAGCCGTAGCCAACACCGATTCACCTTTTATTTTTATTACTCCCTCATTTTCATTAGATATAGGACTAATTTTTGTCACTTTCTTCCAAGTCTAATTTTTATTTCATCTTCATAACTTGACTGTTCAGTTTTTTTTCTTTCCACCTTATTTGAGTCTGTTTTTTTTTCTAAAATCTGATATATTGTTCTGCTCTCTAATTTGAAAATATGTGTCATCGAAGTAATCATCGTTATCAGATTCTTCATCATGCAAAGAATACAAGTCTTCATCTGTGCTGCTTTCATACTCTTTTCTATTTTTCTTAGTTGTTGTAAGGTTTTCTTTTCTTCGGATTGTTTTTATTTGTATTAATTTTGAGATGAACAGATGGCAAAACTTTTTCTTTTGATGTTGTGGCAATATTTTAATGTTTGGGTCAACTTCCTCAAAATTAAATAGGCCATACTGAGTCAAATCGAAGTAACACTTATTTTCCTCAGTATAATTTATGTCTGATAATATTATAATCATCTTTTTGGACGGTATTGTATTTTCGTTCTTCACTGCTATTTGTTTTAGTAAGTCCGCAGATTTCACATTAATACAGTCGCAAAAACCTGGTCTACTCTTATGGCATAAACAATTTAGATAGCGGTAGAAAATAGAGTATGCTGAGTCAACGTTGTTAATAATTTGATAGATTTTCATGGTGTTTAGGACTGGTACGAAATCTACTGATTCATTCAGTATGGCATCCTCAGGGACATAAAAAAGTTGTAATTTGGTTTCAGACGCTTGGAGAAGTTCGTAAGCTGTATTAGGATCAGGAGCGTCCGAACCATAAGCTACAAATGAATCTAATTTACGTTTTATAGCTCCCCCACGCCATCAGCGGCTCCTTTGCCGTGGGAGGCTTCGAAAAAGTTCCATATTGAAAATGAAAAGCCGAGTTCCTTTGCTAGTTTTGAGAAATAGTAAAAGTTTTTGTTTTGACGGTACTGAACAGTAGGATTAACTGAATAAAAATGAATCACATTTAACTTAGGTAATTTCTGTTTGATCAATTCTAGTACTGGTAAGAGATGCGCCCAAATGGCATCTGGTCCGTGTTCTTTGCTTGGAGATATAGATGCAAAGGATAGATTACCTTTTGTGGTATACAAAATACCAGTATGATGACTAATCTGTTGTTTCGACTCATCAAAATGCATTGCCTGTATTTCAGTTCTTAATTTACAGGCATAATTTTCAGAAAAATCTATGTGTAATGCTACGGTGCGATCATGCACATTTTTCATGCACCGTCGTTATACTTTGTACTGATGGAAGATATTGTAAGAATGGGTTTTGAAATTTTGCAATTCTTCTTGAAACGCATCTAGGAGCATTCTCAACGAACCCGTCTTTTTTCCTTATTGATTTTCTTCGTAGTCTTCGTCACATCACTATTTTTTTTCGGTTTGTATTCATGGGATTTAAAACCTATTCATCCCATGAAATGTTATCATTTACATTTTTGTCACCCATGGTAAAGTCAATATTATATTTTTGCACAACTTCACTCTCCATAAGAACATTCCTTAGATTTTAAATCACTAACAACCATACACAATAATTCGTCAAGATCTTTTGTTGCTACTAATCCAATCGATTGCAGTACCGTGTCTTTCATTTGCAAATTTTCATGTCTTTTGCAAGCACAAGTATCTCGTTTTTCGGCGTTTGGGGGCAATACGTAAAAGGGCTTGTATCTTTTGAATGTAGCAAATGACAACTTCCCTCTTTCTTGCCTGTATTTTTTATAGTTTATGTAAATTTCCGAGTAAAATACCTTCTGTTTTTTTTTGTTTCTTTAGTGTTTTAATTTCATTTTTGTCTGCCGTCATTCTGCTTACATCATCCCTCTCATAAAATTCTTTCAACTGGGTCTGTATTAGACAACTTATTTTTCTGTAGCGTATGACGAATTTTTCCTTTTAAACCTAAATAAGTAGCTATTTAGGTTTTCATACAATATCTATCTATGGTATCATTTTTGCTGGAAACATGTTTTTACTATGCGTTTTTCTTGAGTGTTATTACTTTTGTAACTCTCCTTTATACTTTCCACAATGACGTGATGTTCAAGCAGTGTTTTTTTTTTACTTTTTCCTTTTCTTCAGGACGTATATTAGGCAAATTTTGATTAATGTAAGCATTCGTTTTCGAAGCTGGGGTCATCGGCTTAAAATCTTCGTCTTTTGTAATATTAGCACTCGAGTTTAGCTTTTCTTCAAAACTGCAAATTAATTCGTCTTTCTTTTTGATGATTTCTAGTTGCTCATTATTTTTGCGTACACATCTGTTTATTTGTTGCGTCACATTTTTTAAAGACTGTTTCACATTTTATTAATAGCGCTTTTAATTTTGCGTTTTCAGTCTTCAGTTTATAAATCCCTCTTCTATATTGATTCCGCTGCTGTTTTAAAATCTGTGTATTTTCTGCTAAAGGCACTTCTTCGGGTTTCGATTCTTCTTTGCCTTTCTTCTTTTTCTTTTTCCACTGCTTTCTAATATTTTCCTGAACAGACAAAGAATATTCTGCTATTTTCTTTCTATTTCGTTTTGTTCTCTCAGCATTTTTTCTTTTCTGAGTTAATAACTTTTCTGGATTTTTTCTTTCAGCCTTTCTTCTTCCTTTTAGAGCTTCTGTCTTTCAGCAGGTGTTAGTTGCATTGCTTCAATTTAGAAAACTTCGACGATTTTGTATTTGAAGTAAAAATTATAAAATGTATTTTTTTTATTTCAGATAGATTTATCCGGTACCACCGCAGCCATTCTTGGTCAAGGCAATGTTGCTCTAGATGTTGCCAGAATGCTTTTGACCCCGATTGATATTTTACGAAAAACTGATATTACGGAACATGCTCTCGCTGCTTTAGCAGATTCTAAAGTAAAAGAATTATATTTAATCGGTAGAAGAGGCCCCTTACAAGTAGCTTTTACTATCAAGGAATTAAGAGAACAGCTGAATCTTCCGAATTGCAAGACTGTTTGGAGAGAGCAAGATTTTGAAGGAGTTTCTAGTGTAGTTAGTAAGTTAGGACGTCCGAGAAAAAGACTTACTGAACTTATGTTAAAATCTGTGAGCGAATCTTCTAACATTAATATTATGCCTGGTGATAAATGTTTCAAACCCATATTTTTTAGAAGTCCCAATAAATTTTTAACTGACAATATGAATCATGTAACAGGTATAGAGTTAACTTGCAATAGGCTTGAGGGAGATAATTTAGAATATCAAAAGTGTATAGCTACAGATGAAAAGGAATTTCTAGATTGTAGTTTAGTATTTAGGAGTATAGGTTATACAAGTGTAAAGGTTGATAAGGATATAATTTTTGATACAAATGGTTTTGTTACAAATGATAAAGGTCGTGTGATAGAAGATAATGTATCGTCTTTAGCAAAACTTTATGTTGCTGGGTGGCTCGGAACAGGGCCAGCAGGTGTTATATTACATACGATGAGTAACGCATTTTTAGTAGCTAAAACCATTTGTGAGGATCTTAAAGACTGTAAAAATTTATCTTCTAAAGGTGGCTTCCAAGAAGTAAGAAAAATTTTGTTGAAATCAAATCAAAGTCATATTATAGTAGATTGGAATGGTTGGGAAAAAATTGATAATTATGAAGTTGAATTAGGTAAAAAATATGGCAAACCTAGAGAAAAATTATGCAGCATATCAAAAATGTTAGAAATAGCATCTTCATGATATAATATCTCTTTTGTTTATGTTAATAATTTTACAATATTCTGGAATAAATTTTACTCTTCTTATAGCACGTAAAAGCAATCTTCGGCAATGTAACTAAAACAAATTTTATAACCAACTGAGGTTACCAAAAATAAAACGCACATTGTGCAATGCAATGAGCTGTTCTTATTTTTGGTCTTTTGAAATCATTCCATGCTTCTCGTTTATTTGTATTTTTAATAGAATGTGAAATACTGATAAAGCCATTAATTGATTTAAAATATTGAGAATGTTTCTCGACAATCGCAGCATAAAAGGATAGTGCGACCTAATCATTGCGGCTATCCACTAGGTTGATGGATTTATTACTAATTGGCTCGGGCCAATCAGCCATTGAGAAAAAATCATGGACCCATCGGTGTTAATCCTTCATAAAACTAACATGAGCTGTAAAGCAGCAACAGTTACACGAATTTCGACTATGAAAATTTTCCAAGAAACCTGTTACAAACGGATTGTAAGTTCTATGATATATTAAAAACCTACAATTTTATTTATTTTGAATATGAGTGTTCCTGTTG